TGGTGATAAATGAAGTCTTTTCCTGGTCTTTCGGGTTCATTTGAATTTGATTGTACCCGGAGTAGGCATCGAGAAAGGTAAGGATCTCAAGGCCAGCCATGGGTCGATCATGCGATTGATGTTAGACATTGGCAAAGAATCTTTGAGGCATGCCTTGTTTAAATCATTATAGTCTACACACATTCTATGTTTGTTCCCTTTTTTAGGGACTACGACTATATTGGTTAGCCATTCGGGATATTTTACTTCCCGAATGGACCCTATTTTGAGAAGTTTAGTTACCTCGTCCTTTATGAACGCTTGATTTACCTCGGACTGGGGCCATCTCTTTTGTTTCACCAATTTGAACCTGGGGTCAAGGTTTAGTTGATGCGTTGTTATCTCCAGTGGGATCCCTATCATGTCTAAAAGGGACCAAGCAAAACAATCCATGTTATCAATAAAAATTGAATAGGATTTTTCCTGAGGGGTTAACCTCATTCCCAGGTATACCTTTCGCTCGGGACGGTACTCGATCAGTATGATCTGTTCTAGCTCTTCGACCGTTGATTTTGTTAGCGTCGGAGTCTTCGGGAACAATAAAGGTCCGATGGGTCAGAAAATCCCCTTCTTCCTCTTCTATCTCCTACTTTCCCGATTCGGTCGAGATTGGTGACTGTGATTGCTATTTGGCTTCCTGTGTTACCTTTGATGCTCGACCTTTCCGAAGTTGATAGTGTTGATATCGGTGTTACCTCATCGACTGCAAATATTTCTTTTGCGGCATGCTGCTCCCCGTATACTATTTTTACACCGTTCGTTGTCGGAAATTTCATCATTTGGTTGAGAGTCGAGGGGGATGCCCTCATATTGTAGATCCAAGGCCTCCCGAGTAGCGCATTATACCTCATGTCGCCCTCGATCACGTGGAATTTGGTATCTTGAATGGTTCCAGCTACGTTCACCGGTAAAATAATCTCCCCTTTAGTTGTTTCACTAGCCATGTTGAAGTCGTTCAAGACTCGAGCTTCGTGCACGATTTGATCTTGTAGGCCGAGTTGCTCCTCGACCCTCGATAAGATGATATTCGCTGAGCTACCTAGATCCACTAAAACACGCTTAACTCAAACTTTATTTAGTAAGATAGAAATTACCAGAGTGTCGTTGCGTGGCTGAGAAATGCCTTCTACTTCTTCGTCATTGAATGATAAGGAGTCTTCGGGCACATAATCTCGGGTTTGTTTTTCCCTAGTGATTAACACCTTAGTACGTTTGAATATGGGTCATTGTGGAACATCGACCCCACCGATGATCATATGACTGACATAATGGGGTTCCTCCTGTTCATTTTTCCTGTTAGCGTCCCTTTCTCTGAAATGATTTTTAGCTCGATCGCTGAGAAATTCTTGAAGGTGACCTTCATTGAATAGACGGGCTACCTCTTCCCTTAGTTGCCTGCAATCTTCGATTTTGTGACCATGCGTGCCATGATACTTGCACATTAAATTTGGGTTTCTTTGGGAAGGATCGGTCGGTATGGGTCTGGGCCACCTAGTATCTTTGATCCTTCTAATTGCCGATATAATGCCCGAGGCATCAATACTAAAGTTATACTCCAATAACCGAGGTGCATCCACGGGATCGGCATGCTTATCAAAACCACTTTTGTTCATAAGTCCCCAAGAATTCTGCCCTCGATTGCTTCTTCGATCATTCCGGGAGGGATTGCGTCCCAAACCATTGTTCCTTCGATCTGCGGTATATGGTTGATACCGTTCTCTCTTCGACCTTGGCTCCGTGTCGATGTCTCTCGGGGTTTTAACTACCAACCTATTTGGATGTACTGAACCGGAAGGGGCTCCTGATTGGTCGTCCTCGACCCTGATCTTCGATTGATATCGATTGTGCACATTTGCGCAAGTTACAGCTGGATACTCGACCAAATTTTGTTTCAACTGTCGTGATGCTATTGAACTCTGCTCGTTCAACCCTTGGGTGAAAGGTTGAACGGACCAATCATCTGTGACCGGTGGAAACTCCAAGCGTTCCATTTGAAATCGGGATACGAACTTCCTCAACATTTCGTTATCCCTTTGTCTTATCTTGAAAACGTCCGATTTTCTTGTTGCGACCTTTATGGCCCCGACATGTGCCTTCACGAAAGAATTTGCTAACATGGAAAATGAGTCGATGGAATTTGGTGGAAGGTTGTGATACCAAATCATTGCTCCCTTTGACGAAGTTTTCCCAAAAATTTTCAACAAAACGGACTCGATCTCATCATCTTCTAAGTCATTTCCCTTTATTCCGCACATATACGAAGTTATATGTTCATTAGGATCGGTTATCCCGTTGTATCTAGGTATATCCGGCTTACAGATTTCTTAGGAATGAGCTTCGGAGTCGCACTCTGAGGAAAAGGTTTCTGCACGAACTTTTTCGAATCCAAACCCTTTAGGATCGGGGGTTCCCCCGGTATCTTATCAACTTGGGAGTTATATGTTTTCACTTTTTTATCATTATCTTTAATTTTCTTCTCTCCTGACTCAATTCTTTTGGTGAGCTCCTCGAGCATTTTCATTATTGCAGGATCAATCCTTGATTCGTTACATTTAGACCTCTCTAGCACTGGCTAGGTACGGCGAGTGATTTCCGGCTCGACCACACTCGAAGTTTTATGTTGACTTTGAAGCTGAGAAATGGAGGTATGCTGGGCCTATAACATCTCGAATATTACCTGGAGACTAACTCCCCCGTCTCCTACGCCCTGTGTTCCTTAGCCACCAGATCGACCTTTCCTGCGCACACTCCTTTCGGGGTCCGCGCCTAAGTTCGCATTCAAAGCAATGTGCGAACTGACATCGACTGGATCGACAACCTGTACTCCCCCGAGGTTAACCGGTAGCACCCCAGCTCCTGGAGCAGTTACATTGTCGTTTTCCGCGTGAAATCCAAGACCATCGTCATTCATAAAGAGAGTTATATACGGTATAAATCGAGGTTACCCTATTTCGTTCTTCGATGGAAAAAATGATACTATGTCGGAAGGCCAGGACGTTGAGCTCGAGGTCGAAGCTCCTTTTCAATGTCGAGGTCGATATCATTTACCGAGGTCGGAAGAAGGCATGTTTCGAGATGATACCGTTATGATTCAGTAACGGAAAGAGCGAGACACCCGCAATGGGCCAGAGATCATGGCATAAATTTCGGAATGGATTGGTTTTCGGCGGTTAGACAACTGTCAAATATGATTTCCTACTGTAATTAGAAGTGTACCTTATTTAGGACTCCCCTATTATATAAAGGAGGGTCCCATTCATTTGTAACCCATTGTTCACTGATAAGAAAATATACGCATATTATTCTCTTGCTATTTCACTTACTGCTCTTTAGAGTTGTTTTATCATTTATTGCCATCATCATATCTCAAGACTATCATACGTCGATGTCGAGATTTAGCTTACACACTGGTTTGACCTACTTTATTCTTTAATTCATCTATTTAATCCCTTGCTTATCAATTGGCGTTGAAACAAATCACATATCTTAAAACCACAATACAAGTTTAATTGTTACTCGGATTTTAGGGTAAACAGTTTGGCGCCCACCGTGGGGCTAAGGATAATAGTGATTGTTCAGTGTTGATTCTGATAACACACATTATTTCACGCTTGTTCTTGTCAAATATTTTTATTTTCCGGTTAAAACATGTCAAACTCTCAAAACGCACCCGTACATGGTAAGAAGTTAATCCGTTCATTTATTTTTCCCTCTGGCAGTCTGGCTCACTTGAGTTTTACATTTTTAGGTTTGGCTCGTATTAAAATAAATTGATTCATTAAACACTAGGGGGAAAAAGCCACCAAATGCTCAAAGGCTATATGGACTCCAAATGTGCGGTGATCGTTCCCTTGCTAATACATGTGTTGTGTTGTATGTATACAATTAAGTGAAAAAATCACAAAAGACTTTAATAATAACAATGCCCATCTAATGGTATTACTTCCAAAACTCGCAAATGTTAGTGCACATGTAGTTCAAACTTTCAGTAGCTCCCTGCATTCTGAAAAACATAAATAAGTGGATTACATTACATGATTACATAACTTATCCTAACTTCTGAATTTGTGCATCTACTGTTCTTACTATTTTCGTGGCGAGAGTAAAAGTATTGCATTATTTTAATACAAGTTATATGTGATAGATTTGTTCTTTTTGTATAATTTGTAAAATACATTTGTTATAATTTTAGTTATTTAGTCATGTAGGTGTAGAACTGCAGATCACCTAATATTAGCCAAAATGAATACTTTAGATGATCACCCATGATGTTTGAAAGATTTATCGGTTTGTATTAACTCTTCATTGCTAGTAAAGGAATCTCGATGTAATTGCGGATCTATTAAGAAAAATTGTGGGAGTCGACCCCCTAACTTGGACCTATATAATATAATCGATCAATAAACTCGCTTTTGTCACATATTTTATACATAACATTAGATAGATATCTTCACAAAATAGTACTTCACTTTTAAGATGCATTGATAATGAAATGATAGATACAGAAAAGACCCAAAATCTCATTCTAAAGAGCATAGAGGTTCAAGGGCTCTTTTCCGGGCATAGTATTGCGAATGCTCATGGTACTGCCTTAATAATATTGCAAAATGATGGAAACACAAGGTTAGAGAAATAATAGAAGTAGTTTATGTTGTATTTTAATTTTAACGATACATAAATACTTAAACACAATTAACATAAATTACTTAATCTAGCTTCTATAATGATCAATAGCTTCTATAATGATCAACAGAATCTCCATGTGGTCAGGGATTTTTGGTCTTCCCCCACCTCTTTGTATGTAACATTATAGGGAACAATCCTACTCTCCTATTTTTCTTTTCTTTTAAAGGTTTCAAAAATTTGCCAACTCTTGTCCCTTTTCCCATACTTCATTCAGTTGACCGAACATTTTTTCTGTCAAATATAAATCAACGTAATTGCACGGCGTCGTTCTGAATATCCTTCATTCTTCCGGTTTCGGGAAAACCCTTGCCCTGAACCAATGTTGTTAAATACATTCACAAATTCCAATTCCGAAAAGTTCCTAAATTCACCGTTCTAGTCCTAATTTAATCCAAATTCACCGTTCCAGTCACCAAATCCCACGCCACTCTTTCCCTTTACCCCCAAAAATATTTTTCCAGATATCCCTAAATTCTCTTTCTCCTCCCTCTTCCCCCATAATTTTCTCTTTCCCTCTCCCCAAAAACAACACACAATTTCACACACCCACAAGAACTAAACACACCAAAGCTCAAATCTTTTTTCTTATTATTACCCATCATTATTTCAAGATTATTACCCATGTTCCATTTTCTTGGATGATGCTTTCCTTTTTTTACAGTAGCAGTAGCAGGAACCTCTTCCTAGATATTGCAGCTGTCGATAATATTTCAAAATTTTCTTGGCCAAAACCCCAACTTTTGTTCAATGCAACCCCACGATCTCCACCTGTAAACCCTCCCTAGACAATCCCTTCTCCGATCCCCCTCACTATCATGTCCGACCCACAGCCCTCCTCGATCCAACACGATACAAACAATACCCACTCGGAAAACAAAGCTGAAAACAACTATAACAACAGTAATAGTAATAGTAATGCTAATAACAGTAGTAGTAATAATAATATAGTTGTCCGGAGAGAGAGGCCGGCGAGGGAGTGTACGAAAAGGGCAGCGGCGAGGTTACAGGCCGCAGCAGCGGCGGAGGCGGAGGCTGCTGCTGCAGTGAGGAAGAAAAAGTCTGGAGTTAGGAAAGAAAGGTTAGCGGCTAGGTTATTGAGGGAGGAGGAGGACGGGGAGGAGAAGTTTCTAGAAGGTGATAATGATGATGAGGAAGGCGAAGAAGGCGGGTCGCCTTCTTCGTCGAGGCAACAATGCAGCAAGATTATCACACAGCTTGTGGGAGAGCCCGAGCCTTCGCAGTTGCCACGGTGGAACCTGCGGTCCATGTGGCAGTTAGCTTCCATATTGAATTTCTTGAATGTATGTCTTAAAGTTTATAACTTTATGTTATATGTGTGCAATTTTTGGGGATAAAAATACTTACTTTTCTTGTGGGGTTTTAGGTTTTTAGGCCTTTGCTGAATATTAGAGTGGAGTTCTCAGCGGAGGAATTTGAAACAGCATTAATTACTCCAAATGACACACTTGGTGATATACATATGCCATTGCTAAAGGTTGGTGATTTCGTCTTAATTCATTGCTTTTGGTGCAATTTGAGCTTTTACATACTCAAATTTGGTGCTGCATTCACTTAGTATTTGATGATTCCTACTTAACTCTAGTGTTCTTTGGTGCTGCGGTGACTCCTTATACAAAGTGTAATTGTTTTTTGTATTTGTGAACCTTTAGATTTTACTCTGGAAAGTTGACTTGCATTATCTGTTGCTTGAAATCAGAAAAAGAGTTTGTGCCCCACTTTTTAAACTAGAATTCTCTGCTCTCCTGTGTCTTTCTCTTCATTGGAAGTGAGGATGTCTGCAAAGTTTGCACCTTTTAACCTTTAATGCTGTTAGAAGGGTCATGGAACTACTTGGAGGACTAATTGTATAGAGAAATACTGATTTGCGATTATATATATCGCAAAGTCCTGGAATATGAAAATGTTTCTCATGAAACACGTAGGATTAACCTTAGAGCTACTTTTTACATGCATACCAATGCAGCTATACCTTGAAATATGCAGTTTGGTTTGAAGTTAGCATTAGGTAGAGAACCACCCACTTCAAGATAGGGATGGGACTCGGTGCCTAAAATGCATTATTAGGTTTGAGGAAAGCATGGGGCTTACTTCATTAGATGTTGTATCTTAAGTAGAGGTAGACAATGGTGATCTTTTTTTGTTATGATTAAATGAGCATTAGTGTCATCCAGTTTTGATTGTCCATAGTAGTGATTAAGATTTTTTAAAAACTGATGGGTGAAAACCTTGATTGGAACATCATAGCAGTACTTTGCTGATCCGGATCTCTTCGTGACTTCTTGGTAGACCATGTTAGTGGCCTTATGGCTTACTAGCCTTTGTACGACGTAGAGGTTAGAAACCAAAGAGGAGTTGGGCATATGTCCTGCTGATTTTCACATAATCGAAAGAGGAAACCGTACATGTGTGGTGCTACTCGTGATGGAGAAATTCTGTCTTGTGTGCATACAGCTGTTTGCTACTCTTGTGCCCTGTTCAATCAGGTTAAACTTAACTCTTTTGAGGAAGGTGTAGTGTTTGAGGGGTTTTGAATTGGTAATTCGTGCGTGACAGAGCAAGTGTCCGAGGGAGGGATTCCTATTTGCTTCCAAGTAAATATGATACCTTTGGAGGAACAATCAAAAGAAAGATGGATTGCATTTGGGGTGAACATAACTCATGAGAAAGATTTAGCTTTTCAAAGTTGACTGCCAATCCATCCCATGCATGACAGATAACAAAAGTCCGCATTCAAATCAAACATTTTAACTAGGCATACGATCTTTGCCTCCATGTTATACCCCCATTCTTATTGTCCTTGAGCTTAACATTAACATTTAATGGTTAAGGAGACTGGTCTTTTGATGCTTTCGTCTAACTGAATTTTATGCTCTATAGGGAGGGCATTTCAGAGATATAATTTTGCTTTCCTTGAGCTTTATATCAAAGCATTGCTTCTAATATTTCAGTGATTTAACACACATTTTCACATATTTTGATGATTTGAATCACCACTGGTACATGTGTACACACATTTTCACCGCAGTAATTAGACTAACGTTTTTGTGACTGGATTTGCTTAAAATGCTCTTACGTTGAAATTCTATCAATTTAAGGTTTTTCTATTTCTTTTCCCCATCTCTGTAGGCAATTCCACCAGTTACCCGAGTGGCACTTGGACACAATACATGGATTACGGTTTTGTGCAGGAAATTAAGAGATTGGTGGCATTGGGTAACTTAGCCTTTTGAACAAACTGAAGTGAGCTTTAGTTGTACATATTTTTAAATAACTAACTGATAAATTTCTGCAGGTTGCTGAAGGGGAACTACCTATAGTTGCGTCACATGGGTGAGTTAGATATATTTTGTTCTTGAAGTGCATTTGGTTTGTGTATGTACTTATCAAAAAAGTTTATGCATGTTGACAAGCCCCTTTGAATTTTCAGGGCTGAAATTGAAGCTTATAATGCACTAGATCCTGCAGTCCGGGTGGTGATTTTGAAAGCACTATGTGATATTCGTGTTGAGGTATTTTGCATCTAAATTTTATTTTACCTTAATTCTTGCCACCTGCTGTGTTAATTCCAAGCTCACTTGGTCTCAGAGACAGGTTTGTGACTAGCCACTTATTATATTTGAGAATCAATTCTTGAAGGCTAAGGATTTCTTAAATGATATTTGTGGCATTCTCAGTGGTTCGGTTTGACTTGGTTTATAGGAGCTTATCCAGAAAAGATAAGAAAATAGCTACTGAGTTATCAGAGTTGAATCAGACTTTATTTGGTTCTTTAATTTAGGTATTTATAAACTATATGAATATACCTGAACGTGCAATCTTTCCCATTGCAATCAACCAAAAAAATATAAGTTATCATCTTAGGCAGAGCTAGATTCTGTTTGACTCTTGATTTGTGAAATTGGACTGCCATTGTTGATTGAGGACGTAGTTGCCTTAGAAGTATTCTCAGGCATTTGGTACATCTCATAAAATGAAGGGTATAATAGTTTTGGAAGTTCATCCTTGTCCTCTTTCAAGTGGTGACTCTTCTCCATTTACTAGATGTGTCTAAGTNAAAAAAAAAAAAGCAGAGAAAAGAGGAGGAAAAAGAAGAAAACTTGAGTAAACAGGACTTTCCTGCATCATACAGGCATCTATGGCCTTTATAATAGAGCATTTATTCTCAAAAGAAGAAAAGGAAGAGAAGCAGGCACTTCAATTTACCAAAACGGTTAAGCTGGGTGATTGTTAATATACCTTTAGCCTATTTTTCATAATGTGGTCTAAGTGATCTTCAATGAGATTCAAATATCTGGTTTTGGAATCTTCTAATGCAGCACATTATTGCCCCAAATGATAGAGGTTGGTCCACCACATGTAATTTTCTTCCATCAATAGGAAAAGAGAAGTATAAAAAAGCATATTAGTCTGAAGATCAAGGGTTAGATGGAATGTGGTGAGACAAAGTTCTTTTTAATTTATAA